AGTTTGTAGGAAAGAGAAAGCTAATTGTATTCGGTTTGCGTCAGGATTAGGTTTACTTTTATGGTAACTTTCTACATTTAATCACTAACATTTCTGTGGTATACTTCCTGCATCTAAACAGAAAATCACGTTACCCCTTTCAATGTTTAGTCCGTACATGGTACGAGCGAAAACCGCAGTATTTAATTTATGGTATTTCTAAAAAGTTGGATCTACCATGATTATAATGTGAGTATGAGAAATATGATCTGAATGGCATTCATACGATATTAGGTTATTCGAAAAGTTGTTTTGTTCTTTCACGGGAAAATGGAAAGCGGATTTTCAATGTTTAGAATAAAAGAGAACCTTTTGACATTTTTTCTGTTAGTTTTGAAATCTTATACTAGTAGAAGCCCTATTTTTTACTGGAAAAATACTGAATCAAATGCCTTTTTAACAACCTTAAAAAACGAAATTTTTTTGAAAAACGAATCAACTTTCGCAACGTATATAATATATAAAATTATAAAAATAATGTAAAAATAGATATTTCTTCTATTATAATTCAACAAACAATATTGCCAGTATATAATTTAATATAAATCCTGTGCTACCTAAATAATTGCTTAGATAACAGAGTTGAACATCATTTAAGTAAATGTTCATTTAAATGACTATTTGGAAATTTAAATAAAGCAAGTTATTTAAATTAATAAAATTGATTTCTTATTTATAAATACAACTTCAACTGTCACTTATTAATTATCATTTAATTCTTATTATTGATTACGTATTCGACACAACATGACGAGCCACGTCATAGTCAGGAAATAATGACATTCAATCGCTCTAAATACTAAGCGAAATCATTCAGTTCACGAAGAAAGACGCAAGTTTTTCAATCATAATAAAAGAAAATTAATATTTATTATAGAATAAATGTGAAGTGATAATAATAAAATAAATGAAAAATAATATTTGATTCGCAAAACTAATGTACAAAATATCCTTTGTATAATCTATAACAGACGGAAGAGAAGCGCGAATTATTTATTATTTGTCTTTTTCGAAAATTCAAATAAAAATAACATTTTATTTGCAAATGAAAAATAATAAATGTATTATTTCTGGAACTATTTAAATGATTTTTTAATTAAATCAAAAATTGAATTATTATTTGTAAATGAAATATTAATTTAACTTGTAATAAAATTTGCCCAACTCTGGCTAACCAGCTTGTGATGATTAGAATACGTATAAACTATATCCTGTTTGAATTACAGACCAACTGAATCTGCAGGGATCTGCTGAGTTTTACGGATATTAAGGTAATCGGATAATGGATCTGCAGATACATATGTATTGGAGACTCTACTGTCCTTTTAATCACTCCAGGCGATGTGTTCTGAACTCCAGTCATCCATAATCCAGTTAGAAGTTTTCCAGTGAAAAGTTGTGGTTGTTTGAGACGATGCTAGTGCGCTAACCACAACAGTTGTTCCTTGTCGAGGAACCACGACGTATCCTATAGCGGTTAACGAGACCCTGGATACTGGACTTGGTAACGTTCTAAAGGTGCGTGTTAACTAGATACATCATTCATGCACGTACACACTTACACACACATACACATACATAATAATTATATATAATTTTTATATACACATTTATTGATACTCGACTCTGTGTGTTGGGGATCCGGTTATTCTGACATTTACCTACAATATTGTAAACACTTTTGAATATATGTAAATGAAAATCAGCAAACATGTAATTATACTATTTTCGAAGAATATAATAAATTAATATCGATGAAAATCGAATCACGAACTATTTGATAGACACACTTGGAGGCTGAGTACGTAATGCATTATCATACTTATTTATATCTTCTTTTATTGTTAACCCTCAGACTGTGTACCATTTACGGAATAATGCAATAAATAATGTTGACGACGATTCAGCTTTATGATTCAACTTTATGCATCAATTCGCAAAACACATTTTTGAAGATTTTCCTCCGAGACCTATTAATCTTTCTCTTGTTCCTAGTATAACAGTAAATGATTTAATTCAATCGCCGAATATTGAATAATTAAATGACGATTTAAGTGCGATGGGTCAAAATGACCCGGTAATCGCAATACGAGGTTAAATATATCCGTCTGAACTGCATTAATGAAGACATGCGTGTATTTTTTTAAGATCATATTCTCATATATTTAAATTTGAGAAACTTCTCTCTCTCTCTCTCAGATATGAAATTGCTAGTACGGTATTTGGCACATGGATATGCGACGATTGGAAGTAACCATTTTTGTATTTAGTTTCATTTAAAATATGATATTATATCCAAAGAATTTAATTAAATAAAATTTTTATTTAATTGTGAATTAAATGTAATATTAAAATTAAAAAGGGGAGCAATTTTTTATTTTCTGTACTTAGTACTTAGTAATAAGTACTGTACTTATTTTCGATTCCATGTTTGATGCACTTCACTATTTTTAAAGATCACTTTAATGTTGACAATCGTTTAATCTTAAAAATGTAAAACTGCTCGAAACTGAAACGTAAATATGCGATGGAACGCCTATAAAAGCCTTTCATTTGTTCCTGTATTAATTAGTCACCTATAATGTTATGCGGTGAAAAATACGTAGTATCATTAAAATTGTAAAAATAATAAAAAATAATAGATAATAAAATAGTAAAATAGTAAAAAATAGTGACATTTAAAAGAGAGAAGGCGGCTTTGGTTTCTCGACGAAGTAAATTATTTGTTTAAACTCTTAGTATTACAATTTGTAGTCGATTAAAAGTTAGTTAAGTTTCGTTTGAAATATTTGTATCGTGTCACCCGGCATATAATAACATATCAATAATATAACTATAAGAAATCACTTAGTGGTATTTGGTTCTCTCTCTCGTAAACATCCTACGCAACTTACGAAATAAAACGAAGTGTAATCTTCGATTTCTTAAAATCCTTCGCGTTTATTGCTCTGCCTGGAACGCCGACCCGCTTCTTTAAAAACGTAAATGTTTTTCTGTTTCATCATTCTTGCCAAATAAACAAGTCACGAATGATTGCGGACCAAAATAAACGGCACTCAACGTCTGACGGTTCGGTTCTAACAAACTGCACTATGTGTAAAAAAAAACTTAGTTTTCTCAAAAACAGGATATTTATTTTTGTCGAAATCTACAGGAAGGTATATTCAAAAAGTTCAAATCCTTATTATTCCGAAATACTTTATTATATAGGACTCGAGAACAATCCCCTGAAAATATAGTGTTTCGTTTAAAAAAAACTCTTATCATTCGAGCACAATGCACACGATCGACACTATGCTCTTCGTTCAATTGACGTTCTTTTCTCTGCGTTATGAAGTTAACCCACGCACACCCACAATACATAAATCATACTGCGACTTTCAACCTTTTGTAGTATTGAGCAAATAACACAATTCGTCAGAAAAAAAATAGAATGATTGCCGATCTAAAATATTTTTGTAATAATATTACCGAAAACTTGGACCATATTTAACGACAATCCAATTTTTACGTGCAGAAAGGATTAAGCTGACCAAAAATCTCAAAAAGATCAGGCTATCTCTTAAGCAAGTGTAAACATGAAATATTAAGTATGTTGCTACAAAAACTTTCCTAGAATGCTTTAATAGAAAAAGATAATGCACCAAACGTTTTCATATGGAATTCATATTCAATGGAATCGTATTCACATCAAGAAAAATTCCCTAAAAGTATGGAAATGCTGCATTATCACTAGATTGTGGATCTTTATACGAAATAAAAATATTCTGCATCAATTGCGAGAGATAAAAATCAAATAGAAAATTCCTGCTCTCTGTAACACTCGAACGGTTGACGTTTTTGATCAAAATATACGTTGAAGCATCTCATACACTCAGAGCATCAAACACATTCAATTTTCAAACATTTAATATCACAAACATACACAGAACAGTTTGTTATATGTTAGAATTAAACTTAGCCAGTACTAAAAACGATTGACGTGTGTTGCTTCATAAAAATACCAAGAACGAATTTATTTAGACTTTTCGCGATTTTTATCAGAATGTATTAAACAAAAATATGTTAATCATTTGTTGAGAGAATTGCGAAAGAGTTTCTATAACTACAACAATTAGAAAATGATAAACAGTTTATTTTGTTTTTGACAATATTTGACAATCTCTTCATATATATAGATTGCCAAAAAAAAAAGAAACGGCTTTTAGTTCATAAAATATATACGGCGATTAAGGTCGTTTATAATTCTATCAATAAATTTTGTCAAGACATTTCTTACGGTACTCCTCTTAGACGTGTTCCTATAGATTTTCTATATATCCTACAGATAGATTATTAGATTTTTAGACTATGAAACATGTGAAAAAAAAAATTAAATTAATCATCAGAAACTAGACATCCAAATAGCAATTGTTATATTCTTTTAAATTTGAATGCATTGGCAATAGTAATCTTGTCACTTTTAAATTTCTCTAATCCTCTTACCGTACCAAATTTCGGCTACACAATCACGCCGGGCAAGCAAAGAATTCCGTGCCCGGTGATCGCGATTCTAGAGAGATCAATAAGCAAAAAACCTCGGAATCGTCAGCAGATGAAAAAATGGGTCGGCCATAGAAAGTGCATGCGTGCTTATTAAACAGCGGCTTTCTCATTCTTGAAGGCCTCTCAACAGAAGCGAGAAACAATTTACCCAATTACAATTAGCCCCGAAAGCGACGTTTCGTGGACAACAGAGTTCTACCGTCGATCGAAAAGATCTCTTCGCCGTGCGAAACGCGAGCAGACACCTGGAAAAGCTAACAGAGAGGAACTAACGAACCGCGAAACGTCAACACTCTCGGCGCTTGTCGTTGATAGGTGAGTTACAGAAAATTCACGCGGCCCGGACAAAGAGCTCTTTCTTTCTTGTTCTTCGGGGTTCCGTCACTCGTGTCCCATTTTTAATTTAGTCTACCTCGGATTGCTGACCACCGCTGACTACGCCGTCGTCTACCAATAGACCGGCGTCATATCCAGTATTATCCAACGAAGCTCTCGGCAGAGCCGGCTCAGTCGTGTGATAAACGTGGAGCACCTAGGTGGGTAGAGGTGCGTCTGCACATCAATCGACGGTAGTGAATCGTAGCGGCGAACAATGTGCTCGTGGACCCCGTGAAACGGAACTCGACCTGTTCAATAGACGTGCTAGGAACTGTTGCGAAACCCGGACTGTCGTTCGGCCACCGCGGTTTTTTCACCGGGACTGTGACCGGACTGACACTGCCAGTCGGAAAACCCGAAAGCTGACGCAGAGACACGCTGCTATACCAGAGGAATTCTGTACTTCTTTAAGTTTAGTGAGTGCGTAAACTAAAACGATCGTGTGCATTTCATTTGCTAGAGCCAACTGTGACAAACTTTCAATCGACGGTTAATTTTCTTCTTTTTTTTCGTAACGAGGACGTTAAACGTTACATCTTCGGTGTTCCTCGTCGATAGTTCTGTATTTCAATAGAGGGCAGAGTTTAAATTGAAAAGTGCATTTTGGAGAAAATTTGCTTGCAATTTACCAGTGTCAATCAGTTAGCTGTTGCGATCTCTTTGAACAGTGCGTTTCTAAAATATGTCGCAAAAAATCAGCGATGTTGCGATGACTAACGAAGTATAATACTGTGATCACACTGCATATATACAGTTTTCTTCGTAAGAATTATTTACATTTTTATATTTGTTCGTTTTATTTCGTCTTGGCCTTCGAACATTCGAAACACCTTAAAATTTACGAATATATTTTAATTTTCGCTAAAATTGCATTTTGAACAGCAAATTATAAACTACTTTTTACGCATTACGAGTGTACTCGTTAAAAACAGCTAATTGGTTGAAAGTGATGATTTTCTTATTAATGCTTAATTTTCCTTTTTTACTCTCGAATACGGTACCACTTCAGTGCACTGCGTCGTAACTTCTATATTTCGGGATCACGCAGGATTTGAAGTGTAAAATGCATATTGAAGTTTTTCTCTTAATTCAGTGACGTTAAGAGTGACAATTTCCTGTTCACGTTTAATTTTCTTTTTCGACTCTCGTGGCCGTTAAAAGGGATCTGTTTAATATTCCCTGTTTGTTCTGTATTTTGAAATTTTGCTCGTAATTTACTAGCGTTAACAGTGATGAACTTTCTATTAACGGTTAATTTTCTTTTTCGACTCTCAGAGAAGCGTTAAACGGTACCTCTTCAGTGTTCTCCGTCGTGACTTCTGTATTTTGAGAAAGGCCGGGATTTAAGTTGCAAAATGTATGTCAGAAAAACTTTCCCCTTAATTAACTAGCATCAACAACGATTCCTTTTTCTACCAAATGTTCGTTTTATCTTTTAACTTACGTGGATGTAAGCGGCACCTTTTCAGTGTTCTCCATCTTAACTTATGAATTTTGAGATAGAGCAACGTTTAAAGTTAAAAGTACATTGTTGGAGATAAGGACTAACGAATACAATTTTATTCGACATTATCGAGTAAATATCCAATCGAATAAAACTTATCTGAGTAAGATTTTATTTGAATAAAAATTCATTCGAATAAGAAGTTATTTGTTTTTCGAATAAAAATTTATTTGCACAGGAATTAATTCGGAAAATAATAGATGTAAATAAAAATGATAGAATAGTTAGTTAGAATAGTTTTTCCATTTACATATATATTTTGCGATTTCTATTCGAGTATTTCATTTGAATAAAAAATTTAGAATAATTCGAATAAATAGATAGAATAATTTGTTACGAATCCTTGTTACTCAGAAAAAATATTCGACAAAAAATAATTCATTCGAATAATCATTTTAGATAAATATTGATTCGAAACAATTCAAATAATGCTCAATTCTGGTTACAGTTAACTATGACAATTTTCCATTTAATGGTTAATTTTCTTATTTAGATCTCGTGGACGTTAAATGGTACAGTAAATTCTCCACAATTGTCCCTCAGCTTGTAAACAAAAATGGACAATTTGGGAAGAGCAGATACGAGCCTCGTAGCTCGTTTTTATAATTGCCGATTGTCACAACTATAAAAATAGGTCACAGATGTCGAATAATCGTATCTTCCCAAATTGTCCATTTTTGTTTACGTTTAAGTTGAAGGACAATTGGGGAGATTTTACTGTACCCTAATATTCTCCATCGTTAGTTCTGTATGTTGAAACACAGAAGTGTTCGAAATGAAAAGTCCATATCAGAAAAATTTACCTCCTGTTCTACATTGCGAACAAACAATTTCAATTAATGCTGAATAAAAATTCATAGTTAAATTTGTAGCGGATGTATATCTGTTCCCCTGGGCATCGAAAATATTCTTTAGGAACTTCGAAAAAGATCTTTTGTTTTGAACATAAAGCTTTTCTGTTACCTTATAATTAGAGGAATTATGTAATAAAATGTTGAGCATCCGAGTTTAATTGCTATTAGAAAAGAACAAAGACGGACTTTCTACCGTAAATTGGAAAGTAAATTGGAAACCTGGTTAAGTGCGCAGGAATTGGCAATGGTATGCGTATTGAAAGAAATCGAGTATTCTTTATGATTTCAAATTCTATGAATTCTTTGAATTCTTAATTAAAGTAGCGCCCAGCAGATTCTATTGCTTACCTGTGGGACGGGTAGTTGATCGTCTATACCACGGGCGCTCTAAAAATAAATTAAGAATGGAATAGGCTTCCTTTGATCTATATTAATATCGAATCTCGAACATGTAAATAGAACTCCGATGTTATTTACGTGACGGTAGCCTATAATTAAATTCCGAGCGTATTAATGTTACGTGAATTAACGCTCGTGCCTGTGTCATTGTTTCCCCGATCATGTAATTGGACATTAACAGACCGAAACCACCGTTAGTCCCTACTGCTTCTTCGGTTGGTAGCCTGACAAAAAGAAAGCGCTTTTACGACACTGTGATAAAGTCAGTTTGATATAATCCTGTATGCTTTAACATTTGATTTAATTGGAGCAAGCGAGATTATTATCACAGACTATTATAGTAATAAACTAGTTTCAATTAATCTTCGAGCTTTATGCTTGTGTGACAAGAAGCAGACAAAAAAATAAAATCATTATCAAAATGTTTAAGTACCATCTCGCTGTCATCAATTTGCAGAACGTACCATTAATTTGCTTTAATATCCGTATGCTAATCATAATACGTGTTGCNAATAGTTAGTTAGAATAGTTTTTCCATTTACATATATATTTTGCGATTTCTATTCGAGTATTTCATTTGAATAAAAAATTTAGAATAATTCGAATAAATAGATAGAATAATTTGTTACGAATCCTTGTTACTCAGAAAAAATATTCGACAAAAAATAATTCATTCGAATAATCATTTTAGATAAATATTGATTCGAAACAATTCAAATAATGCTCAATTCTGGTTACAGTTAACTATGACAATTTTCCATTTAATGGTTAATTTTCTTATTTAGATCTCGTGGACGTTAAATGGTACAGTAAATTCTCCACAATTGTCCCTCAGCTTGTAAACAAAAATGGACAATTTGGGAAGAGCAGATACGAGCCTCGTAGCTCGTTTTTATAATTGCCGATTGTCACAACTATAAAAATAGGTCACAGATGTCGAATAATCGTATCTTCCCAAATTGTCCATTTTTGTTTACGTTTAAGTTGAAGGACAATTGGGGAGATTTTACTGTACCCTAATATTCTCCATCGTTAGTTCTGTATGTTGAAACACAGAAGTGTTCGAAATGAAAAGTCCATATCAGAAAAATTTACCTCCTGTTCTACATTGCGAACAAACAATTTCAATTAATGCTGAATAAAAATTCATAGTTAAATTTGTAGCGGATGTATATCTGTTCCCCTGGGCATCGAAAATATTCTTTAGGAACTTCGAAAAAGATCTTTTGTTTTGAACATAAAGCTTTTCTGTTACCTTATAATTAGAGGAATTATGTAATAAAATGTTGAGCATCCGAGTTTAATTGCTATTAGAAAAGAACAAAGACGGACTTTCTACCGTAAATTGGAAAGTAAATTGGAAACCTGGTTAAGTGCGCAGGAATTGGCAATGGTATGCGTATTGAAAGAAATCGAGTATTCTTTATGATTTCAAATTCTATGAATTCTTTGAATTCTTAATTAAAGTAGCGCCCAGCAGATTCTATTGCTTACCTGTGGGACGGGTAGTTGATCGTCTATACCACGGGCGCTCTAAAAATAAATTAAGAATGGAATAGGCTTCCTTTGATCTATATTAATATCGAATCTCGAACATGTAAATAGAACTCCGATGTTATTTACGTGACGGTAGCCTATAATTAAATTCCGAGCGTATTAATGTTACGTGAATTAACGCTCGTGCCTGTGTCATTGTTTCCCCGATCATGTAATTGGACATTAACAGACCGAAACCACCGTTAGTCCCTACTGCTTCTTCGGTTGGTAGCCTGACAAAAAGAAAGCGCTTTTACGACACTGTGATAAAGTCAGTTTGATATAATCCTGTATGCTTTAACATTTGATTTAATTGGAGCAAGCGAGATTATTATCACAGACTATTATAGTAATAAACTAGTTTCAATTAATCTTCGAGCTTTATGCTTGTGTGACAAGAAGCAGACAAAAAAATAAAATCATTATCAAAATGTTTAAGTACCATCTCGCTGTCATCAATTTGCAGAACGTACCATTAATTTGCTTTAATATCCGTATGCTAATCATAATACGTGTTGCAACGTAAATACGAATACGCAATAAACTATTTCTTGCTATAAACAATAACGTGAATTATGGTTGACATTAATGTTATTTAATGATTGGGGTGAAATAGGTCGTAAACCATGTCGTGTGAACATGACTCGACGTCGATGTCATTATAAATCTTCACAGTTTAGATTACCTTTAAGAGATTACCTTTTAGATTACCTTTAACTATCGTTAATATACGTCAGTCTCATTTTCTACCGTGTCGAAATTTAATCCTTGATATCTACTCGTTTACTTGATCGTAAACTTTAAAAATTTGTACAAAGTGAGACTTACAATTTGACCCTTCTATGGTGTTTCTGTACTTTTTCCAGTATCCACCTTATTGGCGTCAAAATTGATTTTGCTGATTTTTAATTCATATATTTTTACTTTCTTTCGTATTTTCGTATTAATTATATTCCATTTATATCCTTTTATATAATAAGCTTAAAAACATTTATTATAGTGCAGTTTCCAAAGACATGCAGTATTTTTTTAATCGAGTTTATATAACTCGAACACCGTTAGTGTAAGTTTTTGCGAATATTTTGCGTATAAAATATTGGATAACAATCGGAGCACTTTAATTTTAGATATCGAGGGAAAGAAATTAAGATAGGAAGATGAGTCTTCGCTGGATCCACGAGAACTTAGAGGCGCCAACGTGCGACGAAGAATGCAGCGACATCGATGACAGTTGCAGCGACGACAGCTACGATTCCGATCTATCGATCGGTGAGGAGAAAGGGGCGAAGAACGAAAAGGAGATCAATGGTGATCGCAGAGTGAAACGAGAAACGAGGCGGCGCACGACTACAGTGAAGTTCGATGAGAATGGGTATTTGCCAGTAATTACGAACTATCGACAAAGCCCAATCTTTGTAATCTTGTTTAAGTATTGATCACGTTAGGATACAGCTTAAGAAGTTTCAACTGGTAGTTCGACCAATCTGTCGCAGATTCACCAATTAAAATTCTATCAGTAATTAAAGCAAGTTTGGCCTTACTCATCGAATCCTCGATGGAATAAAACAATCTGCACTGACAGAACTTGAATGAACAGTTGACATGATTCCGGTTTAACTGTACCTACGTCATCTTTTACGTTAATTATGCAATCACCTAACACTTAAACACCAAACGCCTAATCACTTAACACTTTGCAGTCAGAGCCATTTTAAGTCGAAATACATGATAGTTTATTTGACCTATTGTATTTCCATTTTATATAACTCGACGCATCTTATACATATGAAATTAAATTTTGCAAAACATGCAACAGTTATACTTTTAACAGTTTTTTAAATATAAATAAATTTAATAATGTTAACATTATTTTGAAACGTGATATTACAATTTTTAATGACGCCTTAGAGTCGCCACTCGAGTGCAAAAGGTTAATATTCTGTAGCCATTGTTTAATGATCCTACCGTTTCATTTATAAAGATCAACAAGTATTTCTGCTGATATTTCGAGTACATATACAGTTACGTACAATTTCTAATTAACAAATGTGCGATGTCCTTCGCAATAGACACAAGTTAAACATTATACGTTAAAGAAAACTTCGGTAAAGACAAAATATCTAATCTACTCGAATGTAATACGTCGCTAATAATTTTGTCGCTGATGATTAAAGCCGTTAATTAAGAGGAAACGAAATTTTTAAATTATTAAATATTTTTTTATTGTTATTAAATTTTTAAATCATATTTTTCAATACCTCGTTGCACAAGCATGCGATGAATGATAATTATAGTGACTTTTTAACGAATAGTAACGTGGAATATAATCGTCATCCGTATAATGTAATCTTTCGGATCAATATAATATAGTTTAGTCGTCAACGCGTAGTCAAGTAGACACTGATTTGCAGCAACTACACATAAAAATCGCGGCGTTGTTTGATGTCAAAACAGAATGATTACGGCCGAAGGAAATTTGTTCCATTATCGGCATTAATATTCTCAATGATGTACGACTTGCTGACATTGATGAAAAGGCAATGAATATTTTACAGTAAGTTTCCCGCAAGCACAATGTGCCGCTAAGTCCGCGGACGTAATTTCCCTGTAACATGTACTACAACGGGCGTTCATTAATCACATGAATCGATTAACTCTCCGTCCCATGCGCTGCTAACTTAACAGTTTTAAATTTGTTATCAGCTTCCGCGGCTATTTCGACCCTAGACGATTACAACGAGACATGGAATAAAACAATTTGATTTTCTTTGCCTTTTGGCTTATCGTCACATCAACTGCTATGGTTATTAGCGGCCTCGTATTATTGCTCCATTATATTTTTTCTATTACTTCTGTATCCTTGGTGTATTCAAGTAATTTATATATCTTGTTCTTATACGGAAAAAAGAATGACAACAAGGCGTGCAACGATTAATTAATCTCATATATATTTGACTTTGTGTTGGCGTAAAATTATTTAACAGGCAGCTAATCGGACATGTAAGACTGGTACAAAAATTCTTCCTTTAAAATCAAATTCCAACTCAATGTAAATTCTGCACTCTGTCATTCGCAATCAATCATATAATTCTAAAGCGTACGAAATTAGATGGATATTAAATTTCCAGAAAATTCGACGAAATTTACAAATCAAAACAAATCAGAGAAAATCTTCTGAAATTTATAAAATTTATAGGGGCGTATGCGATGAAATCTGACCATTAAAATAGTCGTTATTAATGACTTGTTTATGTGACGTCCAGTGATCGAAAATCTCCAAAACATGGCAAAAATTCGTTTTCTATGGAAACATTATTTTAAACAATTTTTGTGGCAATATTGTAGTACGTCTATCGTAAATTATAATGTAACATTAAAAACAACTCACATTAAAAATAACTACAATATATGCTATTTAAAAAACAAATTTGTTGCCATATTTAGTTATTTCTGTGCATGATTCTTTTGTTAATTCTATGTATAGATATTATTCGATGCGGTAAGTACTTCACTTTAAGTTAAAAAAATAAATACAACACGAATTTTGAAGCTAATTATTTTATTTATTATTTATTTATTTTATTTATAATTAAGACTCTTCAAGTTTCGCCAAATCTTTTTCCAATTAAAACTAAGTGTAGAACACCTAGTTGGCAGCTATGAACATTATAGTAAAAAAATACAGTAAAAAGGATCCTAGAAAACGAATTTTTGCGAATCATGTTTTGGGGATTTTCGACCACTGTGCGACGTTAAAAAATGAAAGAAGAAGAAAAATATTACTCAAATGCTTAATTAAACGATGGGGTATAGAGTTCTTTCAAGTATGTAGTCCGATATTATTTATTTAATAAAACTCGTTAAAAATAATACAAATTCAACTCTTTCACGCTAGCCCACTTTTTTATATAATAGTTGTGGTAGAATATTCTGAATGGAACTAACGCTGAAAATTTCATTACGCGGTAAATTTTATGCATTTATAATAAAATTGTATGGTTGTACAAAACAGTAGAAACATTAAACAAATTTGGAAGCACTGTAATTTCAGCTTATGCAAATTATTAAAAGAAAAAATCAATTTTTATTGTTCTTGCAGAAGTAGACCTTTTTAGAGCTGCTTTTATGCGAATGTGAATAGATAGCATTGCAGCTGAAAGTGCAAAAGTCAGTGCTGCAATATAGTGCATCCCTCGATCACGACATTGACAGCGAACGCGTAGTTACCCTTCGATACTCACTATGATTCACACAGATTGGTCACTTGACTCGATTAACTTCCAGCGCTGTATTGTTGCAGGGTCAGTAGGTGTAGCAGGTTACCGTTCGTGTTATATCATTACCGACATTCGAGAACCGTGGCAACCGACAGAGCTGCAATTCCGCGCGAATTGCATTAAAGCGCACGCACGACATGTACTGCGAAATTAGGATCGACGTTTATGACCGTGCCCGAGTTGTAACAAATAGATCGTGCCACGTGTAATTAACGGAGGTGTCTTTGCGCAATATCAAGACGTAATTCTACAAATGTTGCATTTTAAACACTCGACAGTTATATGCTGCAACAGTGTTCCAAGCATCTTCACCTATTTAAAATGACGGTACCACAGTGACGTTCGTATGTTAGATAATTACTAATTGAACGAAAGTTATATAATTTCAGTTTAATTATACGAGAAATGATCGTACGATCTTTGCATTATATGTAAACAACTTTTTATTCAGGCTGACAAATTACCATTAAATAGTTCAAGAAATATGTATATTGTTCAAAGACAAATTTTGCAGTACAACAAATTAGATGGAGCAAAACTATGACTGCCGTTTACAAAGCTTCAACTACGACTTTAACAGATTTAACTTTCTGTATTCCAAACTAAATCATTTTTGCAACTTGAACTTTATTCACTGAAAAATCTAATAATAAAGTCTGCCGCAAATATATATATATTTAATTAAATGCTAATTAAAATGATAAAGAATTGTAGAAGAAATATGTACTTTTTCGATTATTTTTTAATTTTATATTATATTTATATTACAAATCATTTAAAGATCTAGGAAGGTAAACTTTTTTCACAAATATCACAAATTAAACTCGCTAACACTTGTACCACGTACAGAATAAACATAAACATGAAAGAGTTAATTTGTGGTATTTATGAAAATTGTGATCTAACTCGATTTTTATATGATTTATAATGTAAATAGTACATATTAGCATAAGTACAACTAATACATATAATCTGAACGGTATTCATGTAAATTCATAAAAATAATATAAAAAGTGGATATTTCTCTTACCTTTTAGTTTAGTCAGTACCAAAGCGGTTAGAAAAAAAGCAGCTGATCATATTTAGTTATAACACCAAAAGTATTAAAATCAAGAGCTACTGATCATATTAAGTCATAAATGCATCGCATTTGTTGAGTCCTTGTAACAATGTAAATTTCAACAAAATAATTTTCATTTTTTAACGTATAACGTTTGATCAGTTTTATTTTGGACCTGCAGAATTATTGAAGTTACTTTTAATCTTCTGAAGTGGGTTACGTGGGCTAATGTCTGCAATTGTACTTTTTTTCGTTCGAGATGCACGGTACTCAGAGGCGGCGACAAACACGCGAGAAATATTAATGTATTCGTGCCTTGTTATCTATACCATTAGCTTGATTATTATCAGTTGACGTTCCGTTTCTTGGCCGGAGTCTATATCGGCATTGTCATTCTTCCCCCTCGAGCGTCCGTTTAAAATTAACAGGGTTGGAAAACATCTACACTGCAACGGGCACGCTTCATTCACGAAGCTCACTGACCTGAAAAGTCGATCGGCCCATTTTTCCAAACGCAATGATATGTTATAAATAGCACACCTCCATGCGTCTGTTCGCATTACGTTTACCCATTACACCGTGCCCCCGTCTTCGTTACATTCAATTAATCAGTCGTGAACTATTCGTCACCATCAAACATTAGACGAAAGTGCAAAACTGCCCTACCGCAACCTTGCCTCCAGAAACTTCAAGCATAATCGCATGTTACGCAAAATATATCATTAATATCTTCCTTAGAAATATCAGTGACAAGTGAAATGAAACTGTCATTTTTTATTGTCACTGCAACACTTCGGTTAACGCTAAAATAAACTTCCCTGTTAATGGATTACGTTTACGAACACAGCTTCTAAACGTACTGACGGACGTACCTTTAAGGCAGGTTCTACACTTCAAATTCATTCCTTTACAAATTCTATTAACGTTTTTAAAAATCAAATTCATTTCTTTTCCGAAACTAATTTACTCTTTCTCGGGATCAAATTCGCCTTTTTGTAAATCAAATTCGCCCATGTACAGATCAAATGGTTCCTTTCGTGAATCAAGTTCTTCTACCTTGTTTTCATAAACCATTGTAATCGAAATAAAATCCAATGTAAATTTGGTGTTTTAAAATCTTTAATTTTTTTATTCGCATGCAAAACAATGAACTTTAACTACCAATTTAATAGTGTATATACCTTCATCTGTGCGGATAGTAGTTGCAATAGAATGAATAATAACATCTAAAGAAAAGATATTTCTTCCATAAATTTCAATTTTTGAAAAACCTTTGATTGGATCGTCGTTGACTGTAGTAAAAATAGTGAACTTTTCTGATCTTATGTAGGCTTACAATGTTCAAAACTAACTAGACTTCGTCCGATTGTCTCCATTCAGTTTCTACAGTAACTCTCGAAACAATTTCCAAAAAATATTTGAAGTAATATTATCTCACTCTTAAGACACTCATAAAATTAATTTGATACGTAAAGGTAATCTTCTTGAAAGGTGGTAAATATGACCTGTAAAGGGACGAATTTGTTTTGAGAAGAGATAAATACGATCTGCAAAAGAATGAATTAGATTTAAGAAAAGATAAATATAATCTGCAAAAGAATGAATTAGCTTTGAAAAAAAAGTGAATATGACTTGCAAAAGAATTAATTCAGAGTGCGAGAAATATGTATATTATGTAAAAAATATTAACGAATTATTACATAAGAACCACATATGAAGTGAGTAGAATTTGAAACCTGAGAAATAGATGTTTAATATTAAAACATGAATGAATTAAATTCGCTAAAACAGGTTCTATAGAAACTGTTAGAAATTATAGAAATATTAAATTCATAGTGATGGAGTGGAAATTGTTTGTCGTTTCTACTTAGACTCTTTTCCATAAGACTGCTACGTGAGAAAAGCACATAATGCACTGCATGACATACATTCTCACTAAAGCGACAATGACAACAGAGGGTTTTAACCCAGTTTTATTCGATGTAGTCACAATTCATAAAATCAACGAAAGATGGAACAAGTTCCAACAAAGTTTAATTTACCAAATTTTTAGCGAGCTACGTTCATATAATGAAAACTTTGACATTTTCATTATTGCAGTACTCCGCATTTTGTTACAACTGCATCAGTGAAACCTGCGCCTTGTATAATATGGGATCCGAGGAAACTTACGGAAAATCCAGTTTATAATTGCCTGGTAATCAAATTATTTTGTCGGACCGGTTACCATCTTGCAGTTTCAAATTCGGGCCGCGTTCAGGGTTTGAGTGGTACCAATGAACCGCATGGTAATATTGATCATTAATTATTTATAATATCGTAAAATAATATGACGAGAACTATATTCGATTTATTCAATTCTAGCCTTGTTTCACATTATACCGGTGTCATTCGGCATAATCCGAATGCAGAGCATCGAAACTGATCTTTATGTGGCTTTTAATAAGAAGGGTCGTCTGTACGGAGAGGTAAGACCATAAATTTTAATTATAAGAGTTATTACAAGGCTAAAAATTTGGGGAAAGACGCAATCAATGGCGAAATTTTTTTTTATTTTTATTTCAAAATAAAATATAGAGTAAAGTAAAAAGAATTTTCTAGATCTAGCACAAATTATAAATGTTGGTTTAGCATTTTCTTTCGTAAGTTACGCTAGAATAACGAATTATATTTTGTGTTGTAACTATTAATGTTCGAAAAATGCGGTCTAAAGAATGTAACAGATTGTAAAACACGTGGTGTATTGAAGAGGTATTGTGATTATGGTTTGCCATTTCTACTTTCTCTCTCTCCCCACGATCGCATTTTCACTAACTTTGAATTTCGATATTTTGTAAAACGAGGCTATAAATGAAACGTATCTTATTCTATACTTTTCACTTATTTTTCTATACATCTAACCCCCTGTTAGCGAGTAATGAACAAACCAGTGTTTATTTGTTTTTTTTTACAGCGAAATGTGAACAAGGACAACACAGAATGGGAACAATGGAACGTTGGTTCATACGACGCCTTTCGTTCGCGAAAATATGCGAACCATGGATGGTGGATAGGTATAAAGAAAAATGGAAGGGCAAAACCGGGACAAAAAACACGTTGGGGCCAAAAGGCGATACAATTTTTAGCTATACGTCAAGATTAATTCCCATAACATGTACTTTTTATGCCTGACATTGTAAATCGATCATTTTATCAGGTTACAAGTCATAACAATTACGTGAATTCTGGAAAATGAAAATCTTTGATATTGGATAACTAGCTCTGTTGTGGACCATTGCTGTATAGAACAATACTGTTCAATAAATTTTTAACTTTTCGCAAAATAAAAATGTTTTTCATCGATTGTAAGACACAAGAGCAAAGTAGAACATAATTTCTCTTATTAAATGTTTTAATTCCTTGAAAATGATATATCTATATCGTTAAATTCTTTGAATCTTGTTTACTGCAACTACTTAACATATATTACTTGCATCTACTGATTTTTGCAATAAATGCATAAAATCTACAGTCCATTTATAAATTTCTACGAAAATCATTTTTAATAAAATATTAAAATAAAAGTAAAATAAAAATACCACTTTTATAAACACTTTTATCTATTCATAATTATCTTTGTACTAATAACAATTGATTCATTTCGCATATTTTATTTATCAATAGCAAACAGATAATTTGACCTGAAAGAAATTTTCTGTGTTAATAAGCAGTTCAAATAGATTTTTGTTCACTCAACTGGAATTTAAAGTTTTTTGTCTTTCTCACATGGAGATATCTAAAAAGAATCAGTTTTACACTTTGACTTCCATGGCAACCAGCTAAAAAATTTCATGAAATTAAAGTACTTTATATGATGTGAATTGCATTATAAAATGAGGAAGATATAATCGATTTGCATAAAAATTAATTTTCAAATCAAAGCACACAATGTCGTCACACATGTGTGGGTGATATGGCGGTCAAAGTGTTAGGAGAACTCAGACTTTCAACTCTGAGAATTTGTTGTGCTTTAATAGTAGTAGTTAATATCTGAGGTGGTAAGGTAACATTACTTTACATAAAATGCATAAAGCATAAAACAACGTTAAACGTTCTCCAGTTGATTTTTTTTTAAACTACACATGAACGACAAATAAATTCACTGCCTACATAAAGTCCAAATATGTATTGAACAGTGTAATTTCTCGAGATCATATAAAATGTAAATCGTCTGTTAGTGATACTGGAAGTGAAATTTGAATCAGGAGAATAGTAATTTAGATACGGGTCTTTACGGTACTTTTTAAGGCAAATAAACAACTTCGTTACCTTCCAATAGAATATAATGTTTATTATAACACTGTTACTCAACAACGGAATAGTTTGGGATTGTGCATTCTGCTTGTGCCCTTCAACTGAACCTTCATCGCAAGTTGCAGTTACAAATTGCAGTACATTCTTCAATTTATTTTCTTTTTTATTAATATTAGTCGTTGATCGATCATGCTGCAAACAAAGTGTCCCGATCTGATTCGATCATAATTTGAATTTTACACTTCGCTCGCAACAATCGTACGAACGCCGATCTGTATTTTATTATATATTATAATTGTATGTAATATAATATATTTATATGTAATTACTATTTATCTCTTTTGTACACCTACATACATTGTATACAGGTATATCGAAACTCTTAAGCGAAAGCCTCAATTAAAAAACGGCGGTGTCCGATTAAATACGGTAACTACAAACACTTATTTTACCTTCGCATCTTATTCCGTAAATATCAAATATGCTGCCAGCAATTAACTTCAACAAACGCAATTTAAAATATAAATAAAATTTATCTGAGACAAAATGCTAATAAAGTAATATTCGTATGTAAATTATGGATATCGTTCCAGCTTCGGAATTAATTCTTTCGATGCTAATTGACTAATGTTTAATGATTAAAACAGTTACATGTCCTTAATAATAACTGTTCTCACAAAATCTATTTAACAAAAATATTAATAACATTTTTACATTACTTTAATCTTAATGAATCTTTCAATTAGTAAAATAAATTCTTCTCTTAACGGTTTTCTATAAAATGATCTATAAAAAATTATAATCTTTGCATAGAGATCCATAAACTAATAATAATAACAACTTAAGAAAGTATAATTTTATATATAAAAAGATTTATGGAAAATAAAAACTTATATGTACAAGTGTATAGCATTGGAAGAATTAATTCCATTTCTTCTGCTTACAAATTTGCATAAACTTAGTGGATAATCATTGAGATTATTCACCTCTTATACATCTATTATAAATCAATAAATAAAATTGTAGTAAAATGCAAAATGGAATTCTTTGGCAATATATAATAATTACAAGCGCGATGCTTTTGAAGCAAAAAGCGTATGAAGTGACTGAAAGAAAAAGTAAATATACAGTTCGATCCACGAATGTTCAAATGGACATGGTCCAAAATGTCTTAAGAGAAAACAATCATATTCTCGCTCATATATATCGTCTTCGTAAAATGTATGTACATACTGACAAAACACGAACTGCCTGAATAAGCACATCTATAATACGGCATCTTGAAATCTTTTATATCTACAATAAATTTGTTCTTTCTCCTATAACTTGTTTTAAATAAGATGTTATAAAATGAAAGCATATACACACTTTTTACGAAGAGCCGACGATCACATTATTTCAAGATCCCTGTTTGTTCGGAATTTTTCTCTAGCTTAAGACATAAATTCACTTTTTCTTGGTGTTTGGGCTGGTGGACTGGAAAACACTAGATGCAGACATCAAGTTCTCGATATACTGATTGAGTACTTGATTCTCGCTTCTCAATTTCAGGTTTTCTTCTTTTACACTGTCCACTCTCTGTGACAAATCTAAACAGAGGAAGCAGCAGGGAAAATTAAAACTTCCCCGACTTATTTCACTGTTCTATTATGTTATATTGCTTTGATAGATTAAAATGCTAGAAAAATTTAAAATTCATCTGAGATTTGTTTCATATCTAGCACTACTTCTAGTACTACTTTACGAAGTACGGAGCAGACTAACAAAGTAGTCCAGATGATTTATCAGGATAAAACTCTGATCATGTAAATGAATACCTGTTACCAATTGTAAGTAACAAAATAATTGCTTACCATCTAAAGTATTCTGTAGTTCAAGAACTTGAGCAATCAATCTAGCCTTCTCTTCCTGTTCATCAGGGCTAATATCTGGATCCAAACCTATAATAAAATCATTGTTAAATATTGCTCCAACTTTTTTAACAGTAAAATCACTTGCTTAAAACTTACTATTCGGACTACAGCTACCATTTGTGAACGTCGAAGGAATGGAGTCCATGCTGCGACAGTCACAGCTGTTATCCAAAATTTCTTCTTCAGGAATAATCACTACACATAAAAGTATTCATAAACATTTCAGTTACTCAGTAGAAGTAGAGTTAAATAACATATAAATCTAGCTAATCACTCTAATCAGGAAACTGCCTCTAGTCTAATAAAAACATTTAAAACCCCTGCTGTTTCCCAATAAAAAGGCAGTTTATAATCATTTGCATGAATAATTTCAAATTAATTAAATTCTAAATAACACGTATAATCTACGTTTATATGAATTTTAGGAAGTGCTTAGATGATACACTTGACAAATATTGTAATATTTCACTAGAATTAAGACAAGAAAAAATAGGTTATAATTGAATTAATGGATTAGAAAAATTGTGTCAGAAATATGAATGCAATGTGTTCACCTTGTGGGTCATCGTCTGCTAGCGGTATGCTATTCATGTCATCTTGAAGTTTGGCTGTGACGGATGTAGACATCTTGTCGCCAAAGATATTCGGAGAAAGAAATAATAGACGACAGAGAAACCTGCGCGCAAGGTACGAGGGTCGACTCGAACTTATCGATTTCTACACAAAACTGACACAAAACTGTTACATTTACGAGGAAAATATCCGGTCTGAACTCTTATTGGTTTCTAATCGATTCCCAATTATCTCGATTCTAGATTAACTAGAATAACTTCGCAAAATCTGCATTTATTGCAGAAGTGATTCAACGTCGTTTGACACCATTTGTCATTTGCCTCCCCGCTGACACCTGCGGGCGTGTTGATTCACTAATTGCTCCTACATATGTACTACTTACAGATTCCAGATAAGATAACTATACTTTATATTAACTTATATAACTACTTTATTATATTATTTATATAACAACTCTAAGATACCTTCTTTATACATAACTATACTTAAATCGCTTTTTTCAATGCACAATATCTCAGAAAAAATGGAGTTTTCGGTATGAACCTTAAAGACACGCATTAAATAGATTACATCAATTTTTATACAAGGTAAATGATGTCTTTTAAAACATTTGATTGTTTGGTTGGTTGACTGATTGGTTTGTTTGTTTGGTTTTTTGTTCGTTCGTTTGATTGTTTGGTTGGTTGTTTGATTGGTTTGTTTGTTTGTTTGTTCTTTTGTTCGTTTGTTTGTTTGTTCGTTTGTTCGTTTGTTCGTTTGTTTGTTTGTTTGTTTGTTTATTTGTTTGCTTGTTTGTTTATTAATTTGTTTGTTCGTTTGTTTGTTTGATTGATTGGTTTGTTTGTTAGTTTGATTGTTTGGTTGGTTGTTTACTTGTAAATTATCAAACTTTAGTTTGATTGTTTACTTGTAAATTACGATTTCCGAGTTTATTCTCACGAGAATAAGAATTAAAATCAGTCTTAAAGGCCAATCATTTTTCCCAGGGTATCGTTTGTAATTTATTGACTTTTTAACGTAATTTCGAATTTTTCTACAATTCAAAATAATCTTATCGTACAGTGCAATCTTTCAGCTTTAATTTGAGTTCACAAAACTTAAGCAATGTTTACTTAAACGCCGTTGCAACTGTTGTAAGAAATTATATTGGGTGTGCAACTAAGTTCCCGCTGTTTGTCAATAGATGGCTTTAGCAGTAAGTGCTAGTCGATTTCGATGTATCAAAAACTGCATGAACAAAGCTGAGACATATGGTAAACAAACCGCTTTGACTCGTTCGTGATTTTCTTGTTGCGTCACATACTTTTATTTGTGCGAAAATGTCTGATTTTGTGCCAAATAATCGTCATTTGCGGGAAGTGTTACTTTTCCTATTTCATTCAAAGAAAACGGCGGCTAAGCGCATCGAGAGTTGAAAAAAGTTTACGTGCCGTGATTGGTTCCGTCGCTTTAAAGACGGGGTTTTCGCTGTTGATGACTGTCCGCCCGAAGGAAGGCCAAAAACATTCGAAGACGCTGAATTGAAGGAATTGCTTGATGAGGATCCGTGCCAAACGCAGGAACAGCTTGCTTCAGTATTAGGAGTTACCCAACAATCCATTTCCAAGCGATTGCATGCATTGGGAATGATTTAAAAGCAAGGAACTTGGGTTCTTTATAAATAATTTGAAGCCAAAAGACGTTGAGCGTTGTTTTTTTGCCTGTGAACAACTGCTCTAGCGGCAAAAAAGGAAGGGTTTTCTTCATCGTATCGTGACCGGTGATGAAAAATGGATTCATTACAGTAACCCAAAGAAAAGGGAGTCATGGGGACTACCCGGTCATGCTTCTACGTCGTCGCCTCGGCCGAATATACACGCTGCGAAGGTTATTTGGTGGGACCAGGTCGGTGTCATTTATTATGAGCTGTTGAAACCGAACGAAACTATCACTGGGGAACGGTATCGACTTCAATTGATGCGACTGAGCCGAGCTCTGCGCGAAAAACGGCCACAATACGAGCAGAGGCACGAAAAAGTGATTCTACTGCATGACAACGCTCGGCCTCATGTTGCCAGACCTATTAAAACCTACCTAGAAACGCTCAAATTGGAAGTCCTATCCCACTCGCTATATTCCCCAGATATTGCGTCGTCCGATTTTTACTTGTTCCGTTCAATGGCACATGGTCTGGCTGATCAGCAGTTCAACTCATATGAAGACATCGAAAAATGGCTTAATTTGTGGATAACGTCAAAAGACGAACATTTTTATCGTGAGAGTATTCGAGCTCTACCAAAAAGATGGGCAAAAGTTGTAACTAGCGATGGGCAATACTTCGAATAATTTATATGTAACTATTTCTTCACAATAAAATTGCATTTTTATTTTAAAAAAACAGCGAGAACTTAGTTGCGCACATATCATTACTTTTTAAGTAATAAGCCATAATAAGAGATTTTTAACATGATGAACTTTTCTTTAGATTCTTTTACATTCATATCGTGGACTCCAGATTCCAGTAAAGATTCCAGTAAAAATTGCGCAATAAAAGAATAGTTAGGAAACAGATATTTAAATTTAAAGAGCCAAAAATGGTGGTGACATCTGGAGATATGAGAATAGATAAATGTACAGTGACTCGGACACGATATTATTAGAAAAATTATTGCTCCTTTTTACTGTTTTTTTTTAAAGATAGTATTATTGAATCAATTGTTTTCCCATATAATAAAGCACGTTTTAAAGTAAGTAGAAACATAAATTTTGTTTACTTATTGCACATGTTCTTTTGTATAATAAGCGATAAACAAGATTGTGACGAAATTTAACGTCACAAAAATATTCGGACACAACATCTTAGATGCCAGAGTAAAATACTGTACTACATTGACGACGATACTAACACACATTGTTTATAAACAAATTTTATAAACAAATAAAAATTCGTTGTGAGAACTCGGTACCACAGAAATTATTTGTGATATGAGACGCTTTACTTGTGAAAATGGGACGAAAAGGAAGAAATACGTCTTTTGAAATCCTACAATTGGTTATTTATCACAAGGAAAAGGGAAAATCATACAGAGATATAGACAAATTATTAAATATAAGCAAGAGTTGCAGATATTACACATCGGTACATTGATTCAATGCCTCAGAAAGGTCGTCCAAAATTATTAGAATTCCGCGACCAACGCAAGATGATAAGAAAAATAAAGAAAAGTTCTGGACAAAGAGCTGCAAAATTAACAAAGAAGTTATTCGTAGAATTTGGGAAGAAGGTACACCCGGACACAGTATGACGGGTATTAAAAACTTATGATTATAACGAAAGAGTTCTTCGTAGAAAGCCATACATAAATTGCGCAAATCGCAAGAAAAGATTGAGCTTTGCAAAAGAATATTTTTACAAAGACAACTGGTGGTGGAACAACTTTTGGATGAAAGCAAATTTAATCTTTACGGATTCGACAGTCGAAAAATGGTGTGGCGTAAAGTAAATGCAGAATTAAACATTTCAAATTTAAGACCGACAGTGAAACACGGTGGTGGGAGTGTAATAGTATGGGGTTGTATCTCGTCTGTAGGTGTAGGTGATCTAGTTTTTATCGATGGTATTATGGACAAAATTAAGTATTTAGACATTTTTAAAAAAATTTAATTACAGGTGCTATAAATATGATGACGGATGACTAATAATAGTTTTATTAGCAGCATAATCGAAAACGAAAATATCTTATGAGTTTTTTATTATCAGTTTATTAATAGGTAAACCTACAATTTTTTGTACTCATCTTTTAGTGGATGCTGAGACGAATTCGGCAAGCATCATAACATATAGTTTTTTCTGAATCTAAAAAGACTGAAGAAACCTTTTACAAGTAGCGGTCTTCAGGGTTGACGCACACTTTTTGATGAGGTTTGGTACGGTAATATAAAGCTTGTAAAGTTAAATCCAACGATACCCGGTTTGGGGGCAAACGGCTTATAGATTTTGAGATAATGTTAAAGTTATTAATAAAAGGCCAGAAAGATGCGCTGGATCACAACGCGATGGTTCAAGTAAGCCGGATGGAACCTCACAGCTTTCCCTACTTCCTATTATTTCTAGTGTACTGTGTTCGGCTCCGACCGATGATACCCGAACTGTGCACCGATTCACACCGTGGAGACGCTCGCTTATTCAGTTAGAACTGAACCGTTCTACGTGGGGATGTCGGTTTTGAACAGATATTGCATCACACGTGTACACATGTAGTTAATACACAGGTACGTGAATGCACGTGAATAAGAGTTTCTTAATTTCGCGTAGACACATAACAAAAATGAATGCTATTGTTTGCTGAGACAAAAAAGTAGATATGGATGAAAAAAATAAATCAAAAGAAATGATTGCGAGTTATTTGAAAATACTTTTAATCAATTAATAATTTGCTTTTACACAAAAATACTGGTGTTCACTTTATGAACGAATCAAAACACAGATACATTACTTACACGTGTACCCGTGTACATATTTCGGAACCCGTCAAGTACACGGGTTAATTATATACGCGTGCTGTTTTAGCTGCAGTAGCAAACAATCCGCAAATTAGTTCCCGACAAATGACCGATTGTGATCTATCTAAATCGAGTGTTTTACGTATTCTCCATCGTAACCTTTTTGACCCTTTTCATGTGTCATTACATCAAGAACTTGTCTCAGCATCCCATAAAAGAGAGGAACAAAAAGATTGTAGGTTTACCTATAAAAAACTGAAAGTAACCTTGATAATTTCGGAATAATAGAGTTGACAAAAAATTTGATACAATCATCTTAAAGTTTTCCTTAAATCATGTTATTTTAGTTCAAGAAATTTCTAATCGGACCACTAGCACCATAATACAAGCTGGCCATATTCCGTGGTTCACCCTGCATACTGCCAACCGATACAATTCGAATATACGAAAGAAAATATGTATTCAGACTGTATAATTTTGTACGGACCAAATACAATCGAAACAATATGAGTTCATGGTTTATTTTAAACTGCTATTAACAATGATGGATGGAAAAAATTATAATTACCTAATAGATTCAACATTGGCAATGAATGTTATACACACGGCGCAACACCGAAGATAATGAACAATTTCAATTTCAATATTTGCTTGCTATCACTACACTATTTGGTCAGGTGTTTTGAATATCTGACTCATATTGCATACAGGATCGATTTTAAATCATGGACTTGCAGAACATTACTGCAAAAAGAACTCTTTGGCAATAAGAAAGAACAAATAATTAGAAAATTTAAAGATAAAATAGGTTTGCCCGTATATATCGTAAATCAGGGGGGAAGGTATAACAAATGATGGAAATACAGCCAGGAACTTTTTCAAATCAGCAGAATTAGCCGAAATAACGGGGATAGACATTAACTTAATAAAGCGATTTTCATTAAATATATTAAGTAATATCTAGCGGATTAGCAATAGACTTCCAAATATTTATAACTTACGCAAAGGAGACAGTAGAATTATACATTTTTTTAAATACAAGTGGTACCCTATGCCAGTTACTATGCACAATCTGTTAACCCTCATCGTACCACTGTGAGTTTTTTTTCGGAATTTAAAATTGTGTACCCCTTGGTAATATTGCATTACGATATCTCATCATATGAGAATCAATGTTTTCAAACTTGGGGATCATCTGAAAACTCATATGCGAATTATTTATCCGAACACTGCTGAAATATTAGTGGAGTAAGTTTCAAATTAGGTTAGAGTGGTCTTCAACACCGGTAAAAGTATATGGCAGCGTGCACCCAATGTTTTTGCGTGTAAAAGCTCAATTGTTATTACTGCGAAGGTTAATACATAGACCAGAAATAATAAAAAATATTATGATGTCTACAGGAGAACTGTCAGGAGATGTCCAAGAAGCAATCATTCAAGAGAGAAGAGATAAGATGTGATAATATAAGAGATATTTTAAAAAGTTTACTAATATTCATCGCGATCTTATAATTTCACTAACAAGGTCGTCAATATCTACTTCAAGTAAAGAACTGTTATTAGAAGCTAAAGGATTTCTTGCTAAAAAAGCAGAATTGGTTTCTTGAAGGTAATGTCCAATTATTTTTTAATACTATCTATATTGGCTTGTTGCAAAAGTAATTTCAGTTTACCAAATAGATAGCTTATAAAAAAACGAAATTATTCTTGCAACAACCCTATAAATAATCTGTAAGAAATATTTCACTTACTTAAAAAATATGTATACATGTCCAACGCTTTAATTTGATCGCCCCACTGCAAGGTGGGGTACTTTTTTTATTTTAGCCAAGAATTTAATCGCATCTAAGCTACCAGAATCAGCAGTATGCAAAACTGTTCTGTCATTATTGTATTTAGTGTATAACTGATGGTTATCCAGCTGTGTGTGGCCAAAGGTTTGTAAGTTTTGGTGATAAGGAGATGTATGGACTATCCAATATTTATTTCATCATCAAAAGATGTCATTGGAATGAATGTAGTGGAAATTAGGTTGTGCATCATAACTTTATAATAGTTTGAGCTTCAAAAGTATATCATTGAGAATCTTACTACTTCAGCGAAATTAAGTATATGTATACCGATCTCACTAAGTATTATATTTACACTACAGGGTGTCTCACACACACACACACACACACACATCTAACTCAAGTATCTAAAATATCTCGCTTGTATTTTATAATAGAGGAAAATGTCAAAAGAAAATATTGGTTGGTTCAGAGAAACAAATGTTATGATGGATAAAAAAACTTGTTCAAAGTTATATCTTTCGAGATTTCAAGGTCATCGAAGTTGTTTTAAATGGAATGACTTATTTTTATCATTACTGTATGTTAGCCGAGGTCACGACGAATCCAACGACCTATAATGTCGTATAAATATAATTATCACACAACGTTGAGTATGAGAAATTCATAAAAGTAGGGTGATTAACGTAAATATTAAAATAACGGTGCCAGAATAAATAGCGCAAGAAAATTTATGTCAGCAAGTGTGCGAAATGTATATACAATTTCGCGTATAATTCTCTCGCTTTTCCTTGACCCGCTATTGATCGTCTAATGTTCATAGTGGCCAGTACTGACGAATTTCTTTGATCGTTGGATCGGCTGAGAGAGCTACAGAGGCTGCTTTCCAGTACAAACGATACTTGCTTTTTGCTTTTACCGGCAACATATATTTGAAAAAATTATTTATATGGTTTCTTTGGTCTGGTGCGATGCCGAAAGTCAATTTGAACAGGTCGATTGCCACTATTTCTTCTTTTCCTTTGATTAGCAGTGTGATGGTTTTGTAAAAGGTATGACCGAAAGGGGGGGGGGGGGGTATGTCATAAGAATGACCGAAAGGATGCGAAATCAAAGGAGGTAGTTACGTAACTACCTTTACTTTTAGGCGCTCGACAACACACACACACACACACACACGAAGGCGCGCGCGCACACACACACATCGTGGCGATCGTACTGGGTCAATGTTTTTTGCTTACATGACTGAATTTTTTTATTACTTGATATAAGGAGATTGTAATGATTTCTTAATTTAGTCGTTCTGGTTGAATACTTGTCTGCATATGTCTAAGTCTTTAAAAATGATTTCATTTCTTATTTATGTGTCTCGACTGGTTTGATATTTCACATTATTTCCTTTAGTTTTTCCATGAAGTGTGATGTGTCTATTAGAAATTTTCGATGGATAGAAATGAAGGGTAGATGGGTAAATGCTATATGGTCTAACACAGTTCTATGTGGCCAGATCCTTCATGAAAACTATCTCTGTTTTTCAAGACAGCGGTTCGTCGTAGGCTCGCCTGTATTATTTGAAGATTTCCGTCGAGTACATGCACAACTTAGAGTTGTCAAACATTATTTGGGGTTTGTTCGTCGACAGGAACTACAAACTTGAGAGGCTACGCGACCCTATCATAAATTAATTTCAATTTCTATTGATTGTTTCTCTTCCTTATAATGTGTTTTTTTTATGAATCTGTTCTTCTTTCTCTTTTCTTCATTTGAGTCACAATTCACTCTTCTTAGGTTTTTCGTTGTCGGTGTCTCTTTTTTTGGCGTGTCTTCTCTCTCTTCTTTCTTTTCTGTCAGCTGTTTCGAGATGTTTTCTAATTTCTTTTTCATTATCTCTCATCTCCTTCTGCTGTTCTTCCGAAGAAGTTCTGCCCCATGGACTTTTCTTTAGGCCAGTCGGATCCGGCTTATCTTTCTACCTTTCAATTTTTATTTTTCTTTCTTTTTCTTTCCAACCAATCTTAAGGAATTTGCTATTGTCGGTGTGTATATTGTTATCTTCTTCATTTCGTTCTTCCTTCTTTCTATACATTCTTGACAAACCTAATTCCTCAGTGGCAAGGTTTCTAGATTCCATAAAGCTCGTGTTTTTGTATGCTGCGATCTTATTAGTAAGGGCTTCGTTTTTATACTTGATGCACTCTCTATCGGTGGCTACGTGATTCTTACCGCAGTTTATGCAGGTTGGCTCCTTATAACATCTACTGTGGTAGTTCTCACCAGAAACAACGCATAGGCCCTTTCCGGTCCTTCATTGGTTTTTCTTGTGTCCAAATTTATAGTATTCGAAACACATTTTGCATGTGTTAACATAGGGTTTAATGGACAATGTGAATTTACTCTCATATATCAGTAGTTTCGTAGGCAAACTACCATCGTGTCGCCTTCAAACTTTATTAGTCGGCTATTTGTGTCTGTCCAAATATACCCATTGTCATTCTTAATTCGGTGATAACTCAGCGTTCTTTAGTCCTAGCTGGAATGGTGATTTTGAATTTATTATGCCTTCCAATCTGGGGTGATTTTCTGCAACGGATATACGATTGTATATGAATAGTGCCTAATATTTTACATAACTTTTGAAATATTCTTGATTTGAATGGAGTACTTCGATGTGTGACTATGGTTTCAGGATATTCATACCTGCTAGTCCAATTTTTTATGAAGGAGTCTGCGACCGTTTCTGTTATATCTTACAATGGAATGACTTTGAGTAACCTCGTGAAGCAGTCGATTATAGTAAGCAAATACGTGTATCCATTGGACGGAGTTAGCTTGACTAAATCCATGTGTAGGTTTATGAATCTTCACGTTGGTAGCTCGAACTGTTTGATTTGGGAATGATTAATGTCTTGACACTTTGTTCTTCTGACATTCTAAACATGTTGTGTGCCATTTATTTATATTTGTTCTCATGTTAGGCCAACATGAGTTGGATAGTATAGAAAGCCTCGAGTTTTTGTGTGAAGTCTCCACCCAAATAGGTGGCTGCATTAAGACTTTCATGAACGTCTCGTCGCATTTTGCTTGAGTGATACCTAGAGTGTCAGAGTCGAAGTCGCCATTTATCTTCTCAATGTGGATTCTCGACAGAGTGTTCGCTGTCGTATTCTCTTTTCCTTGAATATATTCAAGGAATAATGGATATAATTAAATATTACTAATATAAGAGATGTTAGTAATAAATTGAAGGATGTAACCGAAATGCCTGCTGGCATGGCGACCTGTCTCTTTTCGGTGTTTTTATGAATGTCAACTATTATTTTGTAGTTCGAAAGAAAATCTGCTCCTATAACGGAGGCGGACGTTTCTGCGAGGATGAAGGTCCAAGTAAATTTCCTTCTTAATGTTAGGTCCACCGTTTTTAATTTTTGACCGAATGTTTTTATTATTATCCCGTTGATGGCGAACATGTTTATATTGCTACGTCTTTCGCCTTCCTTCGGTATATGTACATTCTCTGGTCTTTAATAAATAGACGGCGATTCTTGAGGACATGACTGTCCGCCGCCTGGTGGACCTAGAGGACTGGTTGTTCTCTAGGTTTTTTATTTCGAAGCTACACGGTGGACAACTTTGGATTTTCTCCGAATTTGAGATGGTAGGAACGATACGGATCCCTGGGATTAAATTTAACGTTCGCGTCTACATCTGTTCGGAGTTTGTGATTGACAACAGATTGTCATTGACGACAGACAGTGTTTGTTGTACTGATAATTTCTGATAAATTCGAAAGCCCTGCCTGTTCCTCTAACGGTGCTTTTGTGACGATAATTATCGACTGTACATGCATCGGTATTCTCTCTAAGAATAATTCTCTTAAGAGTCCCTGATCGCTCACTTAATCATTATCGAAGGCTTCGTAAGAACTTGCTAGGTCTACTTGGTTTCGGCCTAAAATATAAATACTATACCTTTTATCAACAAAGATATCAAATATTTCCCATGTGTCATTGCTGAGATAACTAAAGTTTGAGGTTTGACCATTATTATCTCGCGGCGGCCCTTCTTTAAAATGTACTGTAGAACCTTCTAACATTAAATAGAGCTGTAATAAACTTCGATGCATCGTCTTTAAATACTTCGTGCATTTTACTTAAAAATGCCCCAATGTCTTAAAATGATACTTGGACGATTCTTTAAATATTTTATAATGACTTTGCTTGTTGATTCATCACCAATTGGGTCAAGCTTTATAGCAAATGTTGATCCAGCATCAATGTGAATTTTCTTATTCGTATCCTGGTTTAACGTCGCATCCACTGCTGATAATTCGTGACGTTACTATCTTAGGATTTTGCTGTACAAGTTAGTTTCATTCAGGTAACGTAGGGTGTTTTCTATGTTTTCCTGAGATTTTAGGACTTTCTTTCCTAATTCTGTACTCCGTTCTCTGAGTACGAAATGTTCTGCATTCATACAGTATATGTTTAAACTTGATTTTTGTATTGCACAGAAAGCAGGGAAAGGCATCTGTTCTTTTCAGTATAATCGTATATCCGTGTGCCATTTTTGGTGTCCCATCTGAAGTCGTGATATGATCTTTTTATCCTTCCTGATCACCTTTTGGTATTGGTAAAACTCTTGAACTGCGTCGTGTATTTTTATTGTATTGTTCCATTCTTCCCTGCAGTTTGGTTTCATTTTTGTTACAATGTGAACTGTTACTTCTTCGTAACATTTGATTTAATTGTATTTAAAGAAGACTTGGAAGAAGGTTTAGGAAACCAGATAACTACAATAAAATATGCAGATGACATTGCAGTTTCAATCAGAGTATAATCTTAATAGATTATAAATTTCAAGCTTCAGGAGCTAGGGTGAGAACTTTCTCCTGGTAAAATTAAAATTTTAATTTTTAAGAAAACCAATCATTATAAACCGCTAATAGGATCGTTTGTATACATGATAAAATGCCAGGGTTTGTTTACTGTTAGTAATTTATTCTTTTCGTATATTAAAGTTAAGACTTTATACTACACTACGATACCAATGTAATTACTGAATTCTACTAAGCTTGTATGAAAAATTGAAAGTGAAAATAAAAATATTAAATGACATATAAGTTTACGAAAATTGATACTACCAAAATGAAATTTTGTAGAATTCAAATATATGTCCAATACACCTATTTCCATCAGCAATTGGTTAAATTAATAAAATAACTGTACTGTAAGTAACAATTTTATATTTCAATCATTTTGTGGTGGGTATTCTTGACACCCATTTAGTTGTAAATCCACTTCGTGCACGGAAATGTGTGCAGGATAGTGCATTGACCTCGTACAATGTCAAGGTTACGTCAAGGTTATGTCGTTGGGTACCCGCTAACGCGTAGCGGAGGCCATCCCGCGGCGGATGTGACATCATGGTTCCCCCAGGAACCTTGGTCAACCGCCCGTGGGGTGGTCTCCGGTGAGCCGTCACGCATCTTTCATAAATGACAATTTTGTTGCAGAATACAATATACTTGAATAGATAGCATTGAACTAAATAGATTTTAGTTCCTAAACTCAACACGAACAAATTATAATAGTTCAACGGAGCGATCCTGTCACTAAAGCAGTCACTCTAACTCCAATGTAACTATTGAATAAGTATTGCAATCACCTATTTCGGTTGGTGGAATAATTTTAAATAACAATGGATCATACATATAAGACTATCTGTTAGAAGAAGTCCTTTACATTAAAAAATTAGAGATCTTTTCGCTGCTGTTACCGGGTGATTTTGACTCTGTATTTAAATCGTTATCTATTTACTCATTTTTCAACAATAAAATAGAATAAATTGATGTTACACTAGAAACAATAGTAAGACTAACAGGTCTATAAGAAGTATGTATCTTCAAAATATGCTTTGAAGAATTGACGAAGCTGTGAATGGTTATAAACATTGTCAATTGTGTAGTTGGGAAAACTGTCTGTCATCTGAAAATTAATAATTCAAATTTGGAAGTTTGACTTACTAATTACGTTATTTAAATAATCAATGGAGTTTTTTACCATACTTTCCAATGATTGGAATTCTTTTTATAGTATTCTATAATACTATACTAATACTAATACTATTATATAATAGTAAATATGATAGTATATATATATATATATATA